TATACTGTTTCAATCTTCTAAGAAAGAAATCTCAGATACCTATTTATGGTACATGATAAATGCATATATGTTTGATACAGTGATATAATATTTAGGACCCTACAATACTTGACAGAGATAAAGTTACCAAGATATGAGTATGTTACAAATATATTTATTGAAACATGATATATCATAGCAAGTAGTGAAGAAATGCACTAAAGATCCAAGACAAGGCAAAGAAGAAGTAAGGTAGCATAGACACAACGAAAGCAGGGTTCAGAGCTGGCTCTACCACTTATGTGGTTGAATCACCACTGGCCATGTTCCTTAGTGTTTCCAAGTCTAACTTTTCTTATCTAAAAACCAAGAATACTAATAAGTCCTATAACTGTCATGAGAATAAAAGCGCTGTGACACTGTTGGCATGCAGGAAGCGTTACACAAGGTAATTAAGCATGCAGTTCTCTAATTCAATACGCAGCATTCACACCATTGGGCCACTATAACAGCCTTGACCTATTTTTAAAAGTGTATTCATCTGCACAGGTACCCCTGACTTGCTGTTAAGTGAAATGACACTGACTGTTGGAGGTGAGTGAATAGTGTGCTTCTATTTTCTTAAACACAGAAGCATAGTCCTAACATACGTATATAACTATTGGTACTTTGCACTGGGTCTTGAAAGTATTAACAGTATCTTCCATAATTGTCAATACCACTGACCTCAGGAAAACTGGATCTGAGTAGGAATCCAGAAGCTACTGACTTTGTTTTTTGTTCATCTTTGCATTTTTTCACTCATTGAAATGAACATTCATTATTTTGAGGTTTTCAAAAAATAATAAGTTTCAGATAAGTTTTAAATAATAATAAGCCAGGATAAAATAAAACTCTAGGAACTAAAAGCAGCACCATGAAATATAAATATGGGATGGGACTGTGAGCTACAAAATTGAAAAGAACCCAGAATGCGAAGGACCACAATTCACGACGCTGCCTGACCTTGCAAGGGAGCTTGGCCGTCTCCCGGCATCCTCTGGGAGGTGCTGAACATTTGCCAGCACAGTCAGGAAAAGTGCCACCGTGTTTGTGTAAGTTGATGAACTCTCACGCAGGGAAATCATCACACATATCATTTTTAAGGTGTGTAGTTATGCTCAATAGCCCTGGGTTTGTAGCTTAGTGAAAACTGGCCTTTGCAGGGAAACCTCAGCAGAGGCTGCCAGTCTGCCCCTGACCACCCCTTGCTTCCCCCACCCTCACATGGAGTGGAAAGAGAAGTGAGCTTTCAAACTGACGGAGCCCCCCGAAGGGCTGGAAAGGGTACAGTCTGAAAGCAGCTTCCTTTCGTCCCAGACAGCAGAGACTGCAGTGCTGCCCCCCGCTCCCCACAGCACAGACTCCATGCGGCTCCACAGAAACCTCTTCTGAGAATCACTTTGTGTCTCCTGAGAGAGGAGGAAACAAGGCTGCTACCAGTGCAGAGTCACTAAAAGACCTTAACTCATTCTCTCTAACCACATGTTCTTTTGTGTCCCCAAAGCACACTCTGCTGCTTGACAAGTGCATAGTTGGAAGCCTGCTTGTGTCTTCTGTGGATCCGAGTAGGGGACACGGGATTTGACAAGCCAGCCTTGGCAGTGAGCCTGTAAAGCGGAGCACTGCGGGGGTGCGCCCCTTCAACAGCCCGTACTCGCTCTGCTCCTCTGGAATTGCCGAGGGCTCCTCACCAGCTGGGATTCTTCCAGCGGAGGGCTGATTACTCCAGCACAAGAGAGGAAGGGCTGAACACACTTCTTCTCAGAGATACTGTATCTAGATTTTGACATTTTATTTATCTCAACCTGTGAGCTTATCTTGCTTCAAAATGGTAAAACCACGGACTCCACAAATCTCCCAGCTTAATCCACTTGAAGGTGGGGCTGGCGGTGAGGGGTAGGTAATTGTTCTGGGTCAGTCCCTGAGTGAATGACAGCAAGAGGCAATACAAATTCAACAAGAGGCTCCAGGATTAAGGTGTAATCAATGACAAGACCAAGGGCGAGGGGAAGCTCATTAATTTGGAACTGCAGCGCCTGCTTCCCTCATTCAGGGCTCCTAGAGGAAGCTGAAAGCCCTAGGCCATCAGTGGGAGGTCAAGTGCCTCCTGGCCTCTGGCCTACTCTGACACCCAGGGGCACGTGTGACTGTCCAGCTTCTGACTATTCGGCCATATATTGTTAAAGAATATGGGTTCAATTGAGCGCTGTCTGTTTCTAGTTTGGGGACAGGAAGTCATTTTTCTACTGCTCAGTATTTTTCAGAAGGAAAAGACACTGACTAGAATGTCACAACAGCTTGAAAATGCTACTCATATGATATATTATATGATACTACACTATGTTATGTAATTAATACATAAAATATATACTATAACTGTATATAATCTTATATATAATATAATCTATTCAGGATACAGAAAAGCACTTCATGTATGGAGTTACTAACATGTCTGAGTCTGTGGGCTGCTACTTACTCACTGTGTGACTAAGGGCTCAGTGTAATTGAGAAAAGAAATAAGGAAGCAAGAGTTTATATTGTAACACTTATGGCTGTGGGACACTTTATTTACATTAGAATTATCTTTTACAGGGATCTGGCAATGCAGCAAAAGCATATAAGGCAGGTTACACGCGATACATGTTTTTCTCACCGGCACTGCCTGCAGATCTGGCCCATTTGGAAATGAACACACGGAGAGCACAGGCTCTGTGTTCTGGATGCATGTGCACACCCATCCTGCATCCCTGCACCGGAATAATTCCGGATGCTGTCTAAGGAATTCATGGATACCTACTTGTTATATGAGTAGATGGAAAAAGCTTACATATCAATGATTGTGTGCTGCCCCTGCTGCGTTCTCTGGTCTGCACATCGTCTGCGTGTTCTGCTCAGGGCCTGTGCTGTCCCATGGGTGCCCTGAGGAGGTCTAACATCTGTCCTGGGGGTGCAGTTCCAAGTATTCTGCATAGCAAGTGTTCTACATACTACAGAAGAAATGATCCCACACTTGGCTACCCAGTTTCCCTCAGGCAGGGCTTAATGAGACCGCTCAGAATCCTGACTCTCTCTTTTGAATCATCCTCCTCTGTCCATCCGCAACTGCCTCACTCTTACTGTGAATTAACACCCTCTGGAAGGCCCTCCAAGTAACGCACATGAGTAGCATGAGTTGCTCAGATATCCAAGTCCTGATAAAGGCCTTGGAAAGTAATTTCCTGCTCATTCCCCCTTGACCCCTCTTCTCCCCAATGCCAGGCATTTAATTGTACCACTGAGTTGCACCCCAGTGCTGTTTAATAAAATGTTTTTTTGAGCCACATTCTTGCTAAATTTTCCAGGCTGGCCTCAAACATCCAATCCTCTTGCTTTGGGCTCTAGAAAAACTGGGATGACAGGACTGAGCCACCATACCCAGATTCTCCTTTCTAAATGACTATTTCTGAAAGGTGTGTGCTTGCCCTTTCTGATAAAGTACTAAAATGATGATCTAGACCATCTTTAGTAGTTATATCCAGTATGTGGCATTATACAGCAAAGGAGAACTGTGGGTATATTGAAGAAGCATACGAAATATTTGCAGATGTAGTATTTACTTTTATTACATACATACATACCTACACACACACACACACACACACACACTGAAAAGCTAGCAGGGCCTGCTTGCCACACTTTCTCAAACTTCACTACAGAGGCTGATACCTCAGGAGAGAGGTTTAATACTGATGGGGCACAGTACCCTTTCATTTCATTAACCCCTCCTCTAAGGTCAGAAGGAACTTTCTTCCCATGCCTTATCAGAGGGCAAAGGTAAACCGTACCCAAGCATCAGCTTGTTCCTCTGGGTCCTTGGCACGTCCCTCCCTCCGAGCAGGTAGCAGACTATGACTTCTGGAGGTTTCTGCTCCTTGAGACAAAAATGCATGCTTTTTAAATTTGTAATATGCCAACTACATTGTAATGGCAGACGCAGTGTGGAAAAAAGACAGCCTTTATTCCTATATATTTACCTGCATTACAGGAGCCTATCCAGTAAGCTCAAGCTTCCTGAGGCATGCATATTCTGATCAACAGTCACTGAGTTGAAACAATACAGCAGGTGCTAAGCACTTAACGGCAGTAGGATTTCCACTTTCACTCAGGCTCCCACCCAACTGCCCACACTCACATCACGTCCAGTTATTCCTAAGGTTGTCTCTATCCTGTCCCTGGGCTGGGCACTCTCAGGTGCACAGGATTAACCAAGGGGAGGCAGCCCGCTCCTGGGCTCCCGATTGGTTGGGAGATGGTCACCTGACAGGCTGGCAAGAAAAGCCAATCAGGAGTAAGAAAAACAGTAGACCTTTAGAAAGAAATAGAAACAGATCATATTCATTTTTTGAAGGGGCTGTCCCTCCTGATTTGACTCTTGACAGCCTGACTATATCCTCATCCTCTTACTCACCAAGTTGCTCTGTCCCTACAGAGAGCAAGCCTATTCATTTAAGTGTTTTTCACACTCTCTGTAGGTATGAGGTGACTGTGTGAATCACAGCCACAAGGGTGTGCATATAAATGTGTGCCTGCGCTCTCCTGTGAGCTGCCAGCGAACTGTAAAACCTTACAAAGGAAGCTGTGAGAGGGCGTTGCACTGCTAGGGAGGCTGACTTCTGCAGAGCTGAGGGATGGTTGATCCCTTCCTTGAAGGGCCTTTCACTTCCCCTTGTGCTCTAAAAGCTCCCATATCAGCGAGGACCATGGGAGCCAACATGTGCAAGCACAGCCCACTGAACATTATAGCACAAAACTCTAACTGCCTGCAAGGGGGTGGGGTGCTGTAAAGAAGGTAATCCTCTGGCCTGCCTCCAGAGAAACCGAACCCATCAGTAAGAGAAACACAGAATGAGCAGAGGAAGGAAGGGGTGCATAGAAACAGAACCCACCCTGGCAGCCTGCGTAAACAACACAGGCCCTGTTGCCTCCGTTCAACCACATACCTCCAAAGTGAGCTCTCGGTGATGCTCCCCAGGTTATAGTCATAGAGCTTCGTCAGGATGAGAATCACCTGAAGACAAAAGAAGACAGCATGGTTAGTCTCCAGCAGTTATCATCTCCTAGAGCTAAAACGGCCCAAGGGAGGGCTTAGGCTTCCTCTAACGGGCGCTTAGCGTAATTGAATGGATTGTTAAAGCACCCGCAGCACTGACTGGGGAAGGACTGGCAGATCTTCCTGGAGAGCCGGGCTTCCCATTCACAATGTCCCCGTTGCCCTGCAGTAAAAGTGACCCACCGCTCCGTGAATGTCTCACTCTGGGGGCTGTAACACGTTGGAGAAGACCTGCAGAGCTGTCAAACATGCACGCCACGAGGAGCCACTGCACAGGTGGCTGGCACTTTCCAGCCCTCTTCCCACCCCGACCAGAGGAGCAGGTGATTTAACCCCTCCGGAGCTCCGCGTCTCCACCTCTTAACAGGGAAGGTGGGTAAATGATCCTTCCTTCCCAGAAAGGGCTGCTGTGCTGAGTGTCGTTAGGTAATAAACACAAATTACATATAAATTAGCAAGCGGATCTTCATTATTAGCATGGGGATCTTTCCTTTCTCCTTTCTTGTGAGCTTGGCTTTAGCTGCTCTTTTCTGACTTCCTAGCTTTTAGGAAAGTCATTTCACAGAAGCCACTAAGCGCCGCAGATTGGCGAAGCAACAGCATTTTAAGAGGAACAAATCCATGTTTTCTGGAATCCTAAACTTTTGGGATTTGGGGGATGGAGAAGCCTCCAAAAGATAAAGAATATAGAGTTAAAATCAGGAACACGTCCCCGGAAGGAACCTGTGAATATGAGGGACATCATTAAGTTTTCACCAAATTTTTTTCTTCTTTTTGTTGGTACTGGGAATCAAACTCAGGCTCCTGTGCATGCCAGGCCACTGAGGTATATCCCCGGCCCCAAATTTTTTCTGATATTGAACCTATCACTACTTTCAACTTTGCTTAGAAGAAATCAGGTGATTTAGTTAGTTCTTTCCAAAATCAAGAGACCTTATTAAGTGCCCAGAAGTTTTCTGATGTCAGTGTAGATGATAGTAAGTTGCAGTCGGAAACACTCAGCAGGCTGCTTTAGCAGAGTTCTGGATGTGTCTGCATAATGGACTTACTCAAGAGGGAGGGCACAAGCTGGGTGTAAGTGGCACGGGGCAATTGGCTTGTAGCCTGGGTGGAATAAAAAGGGGAAGAAGTCTGCTTTTTCAGAGGAGCATCAGTCTCCACCATCACCTCTGGACTTCCATTTCCAACCTTCTGGTACAGACACTTTCGCTTCCTGATAGGGACTAGCATAGAGTCCACAGGGAGCTCCAAGACTTTGATTTTTAACTGTCCAGTGCACAGATGGCCCTTTTGCAGCCTTCCACACCTGACCTGCAGGCAGCCACTGGAAGCATACCTTGTAAATCCTCGAGTGAACCCTAGCTGACACAATAGATAGCATAAAGAAACAGAGTGATGGGGGCCTGCACTCCAGCTAGGACAGAATGTGCTCATTAAAGGAAAAGGAAGTTGGTGAGGAGCAGATCTGTTCCTTTTCAGTCCACCTGAAAGCTGGGATCATCACAGCAGCGGGAAGAGGTGGCTGCTTTCATGCCTGCAACAAAGACCAGAATCCACCTGCATTTGAAGTGCAGGAGCCCCGAGACCCTCAGGAAGGTACATCAGGAGAGCAGCCAGCTCCTAGCCACTGGCTTCCCCGAGCCTGCTCACTCGTACAGGAGGAAAGAAGCTGTGGAGTCTGCTCAGGTTTTCTGTTCAAGTTTCAATTGTCCTCCTGGTACTCCTAACCTAGAACTTTTGGCCCAGGCCTACTGATTCCAACTCAGCAGAAAAACGTTAACATCGATTTCCTGTGAAGGCCAAGGGATCATTCCAGCCTCTGTGAGCACAGAACATTCTAACCTTGAATTCCGAGGCAGCCGGCTGCCCAGGAGAGCTGCATCCTTCCAAGTCCCCCTCTTCTGGCACAGCGCTCGACTTACTAACACATGCACATTACCGAGCAGATTCCTAATGCTTTTTCCTCAGCAAGCAAACTGGAACTCTGTGAGTTTAGATTTGCTCTGAGTTCAAGGGAATAGAAAACATGGGAAGACAGAGATCCTGAAGGACCTGTCCTCAGGGCCACCCTCTACAAACCACAGCAAGGCTGGCTCTCACTTATGTGTTCACGACCCGCTTCTCTAGCGGAATGCAAGCATGTGTGAGGTGCGGGGCACCCTCTGGGCACATCAGATGGCATGCCTGTGGTCGGGGCATATGCTCAACAGATCTGTGTGCCAATTAAGTTGCTCTAAGTGCTAAATTCAATCACTGCCGTCCCAGGAACGCTGATCAGTGGCAGCAGGGTAGCTGTTTGTTTGAAGTCTCACAATGATGTCGCTGCTCCTCCTCAGTGCAATTTTTCAGAAAAGGCTTATAAATCCCCCACCAAGAAAATGGGGGTGCAGGCATACAGCGTTTCTAGGTAGTTGCTCTCTTGATACAATACAGCGGTAACTTAAATAATGAAGTTCAGCTGGTCACGGGCCATGTCTCCTATTCATCTGCCGAGGGAATACAAGGCGCCCCAGAAGGAACCTTTTAACCCAGCATGTGAGGGTGTAGAACTGCCTGCACACACGCACAGACATTGTGTAAGCAATTCCCTGGGCAGGCGGTAGGAAGGTAGGACTCTGTTCTTTGCTTCTTCTTGCCGGATTAGTAAAACTAAAATGCCAGCGAGACGCTCAGGCAGTTTATCAATACTGCAGCAGAAGCAGCATCCTTTATGACATTTCAAAGCATATCTGCTTAAATCAATCTATTTAATCTTTCTGTTTTCAGAACCAGAGCCAGAATGAAGGGAGAACTGCTAACCTTTAGCTACATTTTCGATCAATTATTTGAGGTCTCTCGTCCCTTTTTTTTCCCTCTTCTGCCTGTGCACATTACAGGATTTACCACCTACTCCTGGATAGTTAGGGATGCGCCAGTATGCAATAGTTCCGTTCTGTTGTTTCCATTTTTCCATTCTGATATACTATTTACCAGCTCCTGTTAAAGGACACAGTGCTGCAAATCACTACTCTGCCATGAGAGAAATTTAAAAATGCAACTGCCCCCTATTCCGGTTCTAGTATCTATAATTCTGTATACTTTTCAAACTTTTAAAAAGAAAAATCGATAGACCTGTTGAATACAGTAACATGCAACATGTATTTGAATAGCATGTCCACTTTTTAAATCATTTTATAAAAATTTTCATGTTATGACTTTAAGAGTTGAAGTACGTAGCATATCATTGTAGATTTACTAAGAGCAAGGCTGTTTTGTAAACACACAATAGAGTGTCCATCAGCTTCCCACTTACTGCTATATCTTGCTTTCATGCCAGTGACACTCCACCTTTAACTCAAAACGATAAATGGTGACCATACAATGGTGACCTGTAATGATGACCATTACAGCTCTTTAAAGAGCTGTAATCCAAATATCCATGGCTGGTGACCTCCACCTACATTGTACTAACATGGGCATGTGGTGTCTTCTGGGCTTTCCCCAGGGACAGATCTCAAGGACCCCAACCCAGTCTCAGAACTGCTGTCAACACAAGAAATCTGCCCTAGTCTCTTGCTGTGGCTCCTTCCAGCCAACTCTATGGCTGCCTAAAACTCTTGAAAGAAAGTTCACTTTGTTCACACTCATGGAATGCCATGCCCTATCAACCCCACAAGCACCCTTCACCCTTTTTGCAGGGGAGGTGGGTGCCAGACATGGTGTCAGGTTCTGAGCAGTAGACATGGAGGTCTCCAAGGAGTAAGCAAAGGCTTCCTCCCAGTTTAGAGCTGAGATTCCATAACCCAGATTCTCACAGCCAAAATGCCTAAAGAATAATGACCACAAATTGGCTTCCTTGAGAAAGTAAACAGCAGGACCCTCATTCTGAGTTAAAAGAGTAGGTTCAAAGAATCCAAAGGAGGATTAAATTATGCCTAATAAACAAAGACAACAACCTGGGTCCATAGCTGCAGAGTGGACAGCTACACCTGGCAGGTGCAGGGTGCTTTCCCAGGGCTCCCACCCCGTCAAGAGAACTACATGTGTCCCCTTTTCCAGGAAAGAATGCAACTGTTTCTCTGGGGCTTGTACTCCACTCTTGAGTGTGTACTGAAATTTCTGCCTAATAAACCCTCTTCTGCCTCTTTCTGAGGAGTCCTGAAAATTCTCTTTCCAGGAAGGAAGTTAGTGAACCCCTAAGCATCTCATCTCAGCTTCGGTTTCTGGAACCTCTGAGACGCGGTCCAGTGACAATGTCTCCTGTGTTACTTTCAGGACCCTCCACCTGGCCATTTCCCTTTTTCTCATTTTGTCTTCATTTCAGGGAAATCCTCGATAAAGGGGAAAACATCAACTACAGTTTCAATTATTAATGCTTTGTATTGTTTGCTTCTCTTTGTGTCCAGCTGTTTTTTCCTCAAATTTCATTTTATTTTACTTGTTTTTTTAATTCAGTTTATTGGTGCATTTTAGGTATACATAATGATCACATTCATTGAAGGAATTTGCACCTGTACATGATTCAACTTGCTTCTTTTTTTTTTTTTCTCATTCCCCTACCCTTCTTTATTTACAAAAGCTTTGTGTCTATTTTTCCTTCTTTTCTCATCATTTTTTCCCTCTTCCCTTCCTTTCTTTCCCCCTTACCCCTCCCTAGTTCCCCTTCCCATTAGAATATTTTCTTCCTGTTTCACAATATCTATTACATATTTTGGTCCTTAGTTACACTTTTGGTTTCTTACACCAGGAAAACAATGAAGTATTTACATGTGTGTCCGATTTATTTCGCTTAAGAGGATGGCTTCAAGGTGCATTCATTTAGCTATAGATGTCTCAAGCTTATTCTACATGGCAGAGTAGTTCTCCATTGCATGAAAAAACCCTACGTCTTTATCCACTCATTTGTCAGTTGATGGGCATTTTGGCTGTTTGAAAGAGTGAGCTATGACAAACTGTGCTGCTAAAACAATGAGTGTGCA